AAAATGTATATATTTGAATTACACTTCGCACTACAGGTTACATTAAATATATATCCTTCGTTAATTCGATGCACGTGATTAATACTAACAGAATCGCAAACGAGAAAAAGAAAACGATAGTTCAATAAAAGTAACGCAACAACCAGTCAAGGTTAACGTCGGAAACGGCACATAGCGCAATAGCAGTACTTCATATTCGGCGGCGGCTTTGTCACGATGTCAAGGGCGGGGAGACCGATGACAACCGATTGTCATATTAATAGCTGGACGGCTGATATCGAGAGAGGCACGGGTGAGCGCCAGCCTAGAGCGCAGGGCGGTGCCGTATCAATCGTTAAGATTAATATGCAGTCAGGCAGTTTTATAATTACTATTTATAGTAAATTTATCAGAAATATTTATATTTCACAATTTATTTTCATTTTTATCGTAATAAATAACTTAAATAGAAATAATAATAATCATATATGTGTAACTTTTGGTGTTGAAAAAGATTCTACAATTGAAATATTCAGAAATTAATTAATTTTAATGATTTACTTTATCTAAAATAACCAATCAAAACAAAGTTGTTAAAAGAATTTACTCAATTGAACGTATTATAAAATTTGATTACAATTGTAAAAATCCATTGTTAATTCAGGAGAAACTAACAATCTTTTTTTTTTTTTTAATTGATCTTTTGACGTGTTGTTCATCAAAATTGGTCCAGCGAGAGCTAAGATTGAGCGTTTACAGACACAAAAAAAAAAAAAATCATAGTAAAATTTATACTTTCTCTGCTTCGCATCGAAGCTAAAGTTGGCTCAAAACATTATTTAACCAATTATACATTACCAGCCTCGATAGGCTCAGAAACTGGGGACTGGTTCGGCCGACGCAACGATTACAAAAAAAAATGAAATAGTAGATGCAGTGGACACTCGCAAAAAAAAAATATGCAGCGCACATAATTAAAAAAAACTACCGCTACACAAATATTGTGACCAGTTCCGACTATGGTATTTACCCGACAACCGTCGTATCATCAGCCAGACATAGGCGCCTATGGAATCTGGAGCCATTCAGAGTGGTTAAGGTCAGTCGGAAATCACAGCAAAAAAGAAAATAAAATTATTTATCCCACACTGGACAGTGTAGTATACGTTTAGTGGCGTTCAGTGCATCTGAGAACTAGAAAGGGTGGAAAGTGAAGTGTAAACAATTTGATATCTGCCAACCTGGTCGTCGATGTAGTATTTATGCTTCAGATAACGCGCAAAAACTTATAACAAGTTATTCAACACAAAAATATTAAACGCTGTTGCATTACTCATTCGGTTCAACCAAAATAATTAGGAATATATATATACAAATAGACAAAAAAATGGACAGATACCTTTTACAACATGATAAAATATAAGTCTAAAATTGTATTTATAATTTGTCTTTTTTTGCTAAATCAAGACAGTGTCTTTTCTACTGATTTAGCTAATGTATTAAACTTTGTATGAATAGTTTGATTAAAAATAACAATTTTTTTAATGGAATATTTTAAAATTTACTTAAGATGTTTTTTTAAATTTAAAAATATAAAAAATTATTTCGTTGAATGTATATATACATTAGGGTGGTCCTTATTTTTTTTTTTCGAAATTTGATCGGGCCACCCCCCAAATTTGTTCTAAACTATAAAAAAATGGTTCATACTTAATTTCGTTAATTTTGGTCAACCCTAAGCCGTGCCTCAAGAAGGTTGAAAACTCGGTAATAAGGGTAGTTTTTCAGTTATTGTGGTTTATCTCAAAAACTATGACATTTACGTAAACGTTTATAAGAAAAAAATTGTAGATATTAATATTCTAAATAATAAAGTTCATTACTAAAAAAGTCGTAAGTCAAGTATTTACCTCGTAAAAGTTAAAAGTTCAAACATTTTTTAAAAAAGGTGTTTTTCAGTTTTTTGCGATTAAATCCGAAAGTATTAACTATAGAAAAAAATAACTTATTATAAAATGTTTTTAAAATTAAATTTACAATAATATTTGTTATAAGTGTTTTTCTCATAAAACGACTCATTCTATCACAAAATAACAAAAACTCGGTTTTATACTATAATAAATTTTATATTGACAAAATAATAGATTATTTTGGCTTATTTATAAGAAAAATAAAAATAACACACTTCCAGTACATATTAGCTTGAATGTGAAACTGAGAAAGTATTTATTTATTTTTTTATGTGTTATAAAAAATATTGTAATTTTAATAAATGCAAGGTTAAAATTTCGCTATAAAATAAATTATATTAAAATTCTCTAGAGAGAGTACTTCTTTTTGCATCAGGATATTTCTTACGATAGTCATAAACCGATTGTATTAAAAATTGTTTTTGTTCTTCATCTTTAGTAATTATTTCATTGAAATTACTTATTAATTGAACTCCTCGTTCAGCTGCATCGTTGATGACTTTCAACTGATTAAATAAAGATTTACCTTTTTGGTAATTATCATTTTCATTCCAATCTAACGGATTTTGGTTCAAAAAATCGGTGGCAATGTTAAATCTTTCAAATAACTTTATCGATGAACTATTTATAAATTCATAAATTTGTTTATTTTTTAGAGACGCATAATTATTTATTGGAACAACATAACGCTTAATTACATTTGCATTGTCATCGTGATTTTTTAGTGACTGTACCATTTTTAATTTCATTGATAAAGGAATATTTGAATCAAAAAATGATAATCCTGCTACTTCGGGAGTTAGGTACCACAAGTGACCACAAAATTTTTTTAATGCAATTTTTGATATATTTTTATCTATTTTTTCATATTCAATCAAACANTTTTTTTTTAACGAAAGTACTCGGTCACCAAACTCCGGAAAAATTATTGGCAAAGGTCGAAAAATGTTTGCCGCTCGCCCGCTCGCGTTTTAAAATTTCGACCGTTTTCGAGAAAAACGCTTGCTGACGCCAGCGTTTTACGACTTAAGGTTTAAAATTTTCATCAGACCCTCCCAATGACATTCCTGAGATATGATAAAAAAATCAATCCAATTCGTTCATTTTTCACCGTTTTATGAGCTTTTTTTTTTTCATGCGCTCGAGACGCTAAGGCGCGCCGCCCGAAATTCTTGCGACACTTTACGACATGAAAACGATTTTTTTTTACGATTCGCAATCATACCACAGCGTTTTGTACGTGCCGAAAAAGCGCCAAAAATCAGAAAATCCGAGATCTGACAAAAACTCTGGCCACTACAAGCGTTTGAAATTCATCAAATTTTAACGGAAAATTACGATTTTTCTCCTTGCTAATAATACACATGTACGCGCCTTATTATATCTTATTATATAATAGAACAAGGAAAAAACGCTTTTCTGGGAAAATTACTTAGCGTGCTCGAATTTTCAAAATTTTTTTTTCAACGAAAGTACTCGGTCACCAGACTCCGGGAAATTTTAAAACGCTCACGGGCGAGCGGCAAAAATTTTCCGACCTTTGACAATAATTTTTCCGGAGTCTGGTGACCGAGTACTTTCGTTGAAAAATAAAATTTTGAAAATCCGAGCACGCTAAGTAATTTTCCCAGAAAAGCGTTTTTTCCTTGTTCTATTATATAATAAGATATAATAAGGCGCGTACATGTGTATTATTAGCAAGGAGAAAAATCGTAATTTTCCGTTAAAATTTGATGAATTTCAAACGCTTGTAGTGGCCAGAGTTTTTGTCAGATCTCGGATTTTCTGATTTTTGGCGCTTTTTCGGCACGTACAGAACGCTGTGGTATGATTGCGAATCGTAAAAAAAAATCGTTTTCATGTCGTAAAGTGTCGCAAGAATTTCGGGCGGCGCGCCTTAGCGTCTCGAGCGCATGAAAAAAAAAAAGCTCATAAAACGGTGAAAAATGAACGAATTGGATTGATTTTTTTATCATATCTCAGGAATGTCATTGGGAGGGTCTGATGAAAATTTTAAACCTTAAGTCGTAAAACGCTGGCGTCAGCAAGCGTTTTTCTCGAAAACGGTCGAAATTTTAAAACGCGAGCGGGCGAGCGGCAAACATTTTTCGACCTTTGCCAATAATTTTTCCGGAGTTTGGTGACCGAGTACTTTCGTTAAAAAAAAAATTTTGAAAATCCGAGCACGCTAAGTAATTTTCCCAGAAAAGCGTTTTTTTCCTTGTTCTATTATATAATAAGATATCCTATAAAAAATAACACGCAATTAAAATACTATCACATTGAGAGTTGATGTAATCAAGGTTTATTTGTGACGAAATAAACAGTAATAAAGCGGTTAAATATTAATTACAATATATTTTAAACCAATACACGTAAGGAAGCGCATAAAAAGTGTCACGATAGTTTTACGTGAGGAAGTTGAAAAAAGTAATATATATAAATATTTGGTGCACCATTGGATCAGTTCGCGTCACCCAAGGTCACTCATCGTCGCGTGACCTATCGGACGAGGAGAGGCAGCTGTGTCGCAGTCGCCATCCAAAGGAAAAGCCGGAAGTGTACTGTGACCGCGTCATACTTCCCCCTAATTAGGCCTCGGTCGAAGACTGACCAGAGGAGCGGTTGGCTCCGAAGCTCCCACAATTTTGGCATGTCGTACTCGATCCACCGTCCAATTCTCCGGTAAATCACCGAAAGGCTCTCCCGTGAGAGCAGCTGCCTGGCGCATTAGTCTACACGCCTGCTGACGCATCAACGCTGCTGATTCAACAGCTAGTTGGCAGGATGGGCGGAACGGGCGGGCCTCTTTTCGCTGCTGGTTGTCGGTCATTCTGTAACAGAGAATGATTGTTAGGATTACTTCCCGAAGTGTCATGTTTCATGGCCGTAACATACAGCTTCAACTGACGTTTTCCTTTTGGTCGCAAATACTCCCTCACCTAATCTTTTTGCTAGTTGCACAGGGCCCAGCCACATTAGGGCAAAGCCGGCGTGAAACTTTTTATCCGTACTGGATATAAAATGTGCTCGGTAATACACCCAATCACCATGCTCAAAGCTTTTGCGGTGCTTTTTACTCATGCTCACCAAATGCCCAAATGCCCGTTCAGAGGAAGTGCTCCCTGTTAGTCTATTACGACTATTTCTTATTGAAACATCATAGTCGGAATACAGCTGTCCCAGTGACTATATGGTTTGTCAACCAAAGCTGTACGAAGGCCATTTTTCAAATCCTGGTTTCAGCGTTCTACTGGGTTTGTTCTTGGATGGTAAATTGGCGTTGTCCATCCTTCTGTGCCCCACTTCTCCAGTGTTTTCTCCATTGTTTTGGATACGAACTATGTTCCGTTGTCTGAGAGAAGTACTCTAGCATAGCTGAAACGAGAGAAGAACTCTTTTTCTAAAGTATCGGTAATCGTCTTAGCGGTGACTTGCCCTTGGGGATATGCTTTCACCCATTTACTGTAGCAGTCTGTTGCTACAAGTAGGCAAGTATTACTGCGTTGATATCTTGGGTATGGCCCCATTAGATCAATACTAACAACCTCCCATAACTGGCGGGGCTGTCTTGGCCGAATTGGGTCATCTTGCTTCCAGTTTAGCGGTTTAACGCAAGCACAAACATGACACCTTGCGACATATTGACGTACCGACTCATGCATACTGGTCCATACGGAACAATTACCAATGCTCCGGTAAGATTCTTTCCACCCTGGATGTCCGGCAGAAACATGGTCATGATACCTCCAGAGCAGGTAATTTGACATGTCCGACAGAACGACGATAATCTTTCCTTACGTCTCATAATTTACCGGGCCTTTTACCAAATTCCATCTTGCAAGTATTATTCATGGTGTAAGCGCCGGTAAATTGAATTGTCACTCCGCAGTTTTCGGATATACTGGACCAAAGTTGTATCTTCGGCTTGCCAGGTTTTTTTTTTTTCTCCGATCGGCTTATTTGTAGACTTGCCAGGTTCTGTTAATGTCGGTATTAGCTATATTCTCCGGGTAAGTTTTTGCACTTTTACCTTCTTAGCTGGGCTAAAAGATTCACTTTTACTTTGCAGATATGTTTTTTCTGACTTTTGCTCAGGTAATTCGTCTAAGCTTGGCTCCTAGTCGGACGCTGAACAATTACCCTGTTCGTCAGTTAACACCTTTTTCCGGTAAATAAGTTTGCGGATCGGACCGTAGGTCATAAAGTGAATCTGTGTCAATTTCCTTCGGTTCCGAGTAATACCAGTAAATCAAATTAATTTCCGGTCTGATAACCTCTTTCTCCGGTGGCGGTTTCTTATTTTCCTCTTTGAAGTTATTCCCTTCTGCGGAATACTTATTTTCTTCGGGCCGCCGTTCCGGAAGAAAGTCCTCTACGTCCAAGTCGCTAGCCAGCTCTAGCAGATCTATCTTCCATTGACCTAATGCGCAGTCACTGCGCATGAGGTCATATGATTAGGTCGACTAACTCGTACTCTATCAGCCTTGAGTTGAGACGACGGGCTAGCTGGCTCTTCCACATTACAAACTCCTCTAGGGATTGTCGTTCACCTTGGTAAGCACTGTGGAGATCATTGCGTACTTTGTTAAGTATAGAAATGTTATTGAACCTCCTCAAAAATTCTTCCCGGAACACTGACCATGTGGGGTTCAAGTAGCGTATGGTACCCCACCAGTTACCTGCCTCTGCTTTTTACTGTGGGGACAGTACACGTAACCATTTCTGGTGCGGTACGTTCGCTTCAATTAGAAACGATTCAGCCTCTTCAATGAAAGCGTTGGGGTCCTTTTGTTTCTTTCCAGAAAACTCCAGCAGAGAATCACGTGCCAACGTTAGACTATAGTAGGATAGTAACAACGTTTTGTTAAACGTAATGTATCGTTGCTCCCTGGTCCTATTGTCCGGACAGAAACAACTTTCGGATCATTCAACTTCGTTAGTACCGGTCATTCCTTGGTTTGAAACGAAAGTATTGTGTATCTGACCGAAGAAACTCGAATATTCACCGGAGAACTGTATGTTTTAATGATGGTTTTCAGTTGTCCGGTTACTTTCAACGGCAGAAATCCGGTTTTGCACCGGAAAAGTAAAAACTTTCACCGGAGAACTGTTTGTTTCGATGCTGTTTTCTCGTAATCTGATCTAATCCTCCGAATAAATTTGAATTTTTCTACAGGACAAGGGGGTCCCGGTTGGTGTAACCCGAGGTACTTGCCATTTTCACGGGGCAAATTTATTTTTTCACCGGAGAACTGTTTTCTACCGTTCCATTCTATCGAAGTCCAGAGTAATCCACTGGAGAACTCATCATCTCCCCGGATCTCCGGTGGAAGGAATAGGGAGTCCTGTTGAGCCGTTCGGTCGAAACTTCCCAAGACGGCCATCTGCTCACATCATTCCGACCAGATTTCTGGTGTGTCGTTTCTGCCCGCTACAACTCTCTAAGCGTGTGTAGTAGCGGTATGGTTATCCTGTTGGTACTGCCAGGTACCCCTTCCACATAATCGTTAGGTAGGTTGACTTGCGTCGTCAAAGTGTCCACCTTTGTTTCCAGCCAGCCAATATGGTCGCGATGGAGGGACACCGTGTTCTCTAATTCCTCAATTTTGGCCATATACTCGTCAAGGTACAAAAATAAGGTAGTGTACATGTTCTGTTAGAAATTCCACTCGTCATTATCAAGTGCATTGTCCGATCTGTCATTGTCAGCTCCACAAGTCTGACTTGTACTCCCTTTAGGAACATTCTCGCTTTGAGGGAGAGGATTATTGGGTTGAACGGGGTAAAATTTGATACTTCCCACATTAACGCCCTCCTCCAGAAAGTAGTCCTCCAACCTGATCATAAGATCGGCTTTCGATCCTCCAATTGCGAGTCCCCGTAGCGCTAACTTCCCTTGTAATTCCTTTATCGATAATTCGAGTATGGTTTTACGTGACATACTGGTTGATAAAGTCACAAGTATATAAATAAGTTACAAGTAAGTCAGTGGGATGATAACGCGCTGATATTTGCCTAATATTTATTTTTAATACAAACCGCGTTAGAGAAAATTTCCGAATAATAAGCCTATGACTATTGCTTATATATATCTTAACCTCAAAAATTAATAATTATAATCTTATAATTATTTAAGTCATAAAAATTTCTTATTCTGGGACTTACTACACTTTTAGTCATTTAAAGCTGCAGGTTCTCTATTTTGCAAGTATTTCATTAAGGGTACTAAAAATAATAATTGCTGTAATTATTTAGCACTTACCTTAATTACTTCTTAGTCTGAAAAGAATTCCTTATTCGAATACACCAATAATGTAATCAAGGTTTATTTGTGACGAAATAAATAGTAATAAAGTAATTAAATATTAATCACAATATATTTTAAACCAATACACGTAAGGAAGCACATAAAAAGTGTCACGATAGATTTCCGTGAAGTAGTTAAAAAAGTAATATGTATATATTTTTGGTGCAATGCCTGACCGGTTCGCGTCACCTACGGTCACTCATCGTCGCGTGACCTATTGGACGAGGAAAGGCAGCTGTGTCTCAGTCGCCATCCAGCGATAAGTCTAAAGTGAACTACGACTACTTCAGAGTACTTTTTGGTTTCTAAATACAAAAGTTTTTCAATTATATTTTACTATCCAAAATATATATATATAATTTTTTAGATAGCAATATATTCATTTATTATAACTAAAACTAGTCGAATAATAGAGACTTGACTAAACCTTATACCTTAAGCTTTATGTAAAGTCACAATTTTTCGATGCCCTTAAAAATAAAAATTGTATTTGTATGTCTCTTTCTTAATTAGATATTAAATTTTATTACAGCAAAACTTAATTAATATTTTTCTCATTTAGCAATTCAATATGATAATTCAAATGACGAACAAAAATGGCAATTAAAAGAAGACACGACAAGAATAGCTGCAGAAAACGGAAATTTGGAATTGTTAAAATATGCATTTCAAAAAGGATGTAAATGGGATGAAAAAACAACAGAAGCTGCTGCAAATAATGGTCATTTAGAATGTTTAAAATATGCTTATGAAAATGGTTGTAAATGGAATCAATTCAAAATTGCGACAAGTGCGATTAGAAAGGGTCATCTAAAAATATTAAAATATATTCACAAAAATGGATACGATTTTAATCAATTTATAACTAACATTGCTGCTGCTGGTAATCTAAAAATTTTTAAATATGTCCTTAAACATGGATATCCTTGCAATAAAGATACAACTTATACAGCTGTTTTTAATAGAAATCTGGAAAATTTAAAATATTTACACGAAAAAGGATGCCCATGGGATGATAGAATTACTTATGAGGCCGCCATTCAGGGTAATTTACATATTTTAAAATATGCATATGAAAATGGATGTCCTTGGAATGAAAGAACAACAGTAGCCTCTGCTTCTATTGGTAATTTAGAATGTTTAAAATATGCAATTGAAAATGGTTGTAAATGTCATAAACATACAACTACTGAGGCAGCCAAAAGAGGTAATTTAAAAATATTAAAATATGCACATAAAAATGAATGTCCTTGGGATGAAAGCACAACAGCAGCCTCTGCTTCTAATGGCAATTTAGAATGTTTAAAATATGCAATTGAAAATGGTTGTAAATGTCATAAACATACAACTACTGGGGCAGCCATAAGAGGTGATTTAAAAATATTAAAATATGCACATGAAAATGAATGTCCTTGGGATGAAAGCACAACAGAAGCAGCTGCTTTAAGCGGTAATTTAGAATGTTTAAAATATGCTTTTGAAAATGGCTGTGAATGGGATAAACGTACACCTACTGCAGCTGCCAGAAGAGGTTATTTAAAAATATTAAAATATGCACATGAAAATGAATGTCCTTGGGATGAAAGCACAACAAAAGAAGCTGTTTTTAACGGAAATTTAGAATGTTTAAAATATGCTATTGAAAATGGCTGTAAATGGGATAAACGAACACCTATTGCAGCTGCCAGTAGTGGTGATTTAAAAATATTAAAATTTGCACATGAAAATGAATATCCTTGGGATGAAAGCACAACAGAAGCAGCTGCTTTAAGCGGTAATTTAGAATGTTTAGAATATGCTTATGAAAATGGCTGTAAATGGAATGAACGTACATCTACTGCAGCTGCCAAAAGAGGTTATTTAACAATATTAAAATATGTACATGAAAATGAATGTCCTTGGGATGAAAGCACAACAGAAGCAGCTGCTTTAAGCGGTAATTTAGTATGTTTAAAATATGCTTTTGAAAATGGCTGTAAATGGGATGAACGTACAGCTACTGCGGCTGCCAGAATAGGTTATTTAAAAATATTAAAATATGCACATGAAAATGATTGTCCTTGGGATGAAAGCACAACAGAAGCAGCTGTTTTTAGCGGTAATTTAGAATGTTTAAAATATGCTTATGAAAATGGCTGTAAATGGGATAAACGTACATCTACTGCGGCTGCCAGAATAGGTGATTTAAATATGTTAATATATGCACATGAAAATGGTTGTCCGTGGGATGAAAGCACAACAGAAGCAGCTGTTTTTAGCGGTAATTTAGAATGTTTAAAATATGCTTATGAAAATGGCTGTAAATGGGATGAACGTACATCTACTGCGGCTGCCAGAATAGGTGATTTAAATATGTTAATATATGCACATGAAAATGGTTGTCCGTGGGATGAAAGCACAACAGAAGCAGCTGTTTTTAGCGGTAATTTAGAATGTTTAAAATATGCTTATGAAAATGGCTGTAAATGGTATGAAGGCACAACTCGAATTGCTGCAGCAAGTGGCTATTTGGACTTCTTGAAATATGCTCATGAAATGGAATGTATTTTTGACAAAGATACTATAGTTGCAGCAGCTTTGCATGGTAATTTAGATTGTCTTATATATGCCCGTAAACATGGATGTAATTGGGTTGAAGGTACAATGAGAGGGGCTGCAGCAAATGGACATTTACACTGCTTAAAATATGCCCGTGAAAATGGGTGTTTGTGGGACGAGGGCACAACAAGGGAAGCAGCTGCGAATAATTATATTAACTGTTTGATATTTGCACATAATAATGGGTGCAAATGGGATGTAGGAACTATAAGTGGAGCTGCTGCAAATGGAAATTTAGACTGCCTAAAATATGTTCATGAAATTGATTGTGAGTGGGACGAAGGTACAACAAGACTTGCTGCTGCAAATGGTCAATTTGGTTGCTTAAAATATGCTTATGAAAATAATTGTTCATGGAGTAGCGGTACCATTTCTGAAGCTACTCGAATGGGATATACTGATATAATTAACTATGCTACTGAAAATGGCTGTCCTAATTAATGTTCTGTTGAGACATCTTAATTTTTATTACATTTATTTATGGCAAATTATTTTTGAAAATAGTAACTGGAATTAATTTATTGAATAAGTATATTATATCTAAAAGTAACTATAAAAAAAAAATAATAAAAAATTCACAATATTTTTAGTTTTTGATTAATTTAATAACAAAAGTGTTATATAAATTTTTTGTTCTAATAATAATGTTTAGTAAAATCTCGAAAAGAGACAGCTAAGAGTAACATATATCAGTTTCAATATAGAATGTTTAATAAAAATAAATAAGTAAAATTAAAACTATATTAAAAATATTATTAATTTAAAAAACTAAAAAATATTAAATTTTATTATATAAAAATAAATAATTATTTTAATTTAACAATATGCTTTTTATTTTTCTTAATCATCATGCATAGCCAATCCATATCTGTTAATACTCGTGAGTGGACTGTAATCATAAAATAATAAAAAAACAGAGTATGAAGCTCTACCATGTGTAAAATGTTATATCAAATGTCATTATAACCTAACTGCATGAGTAACCTACGCTGATTAACAAGTAATACTATATGCGTTATGTCGTGTAGCTTAATTTGTGAGTATTGCGTAAATAGCCCTTAACATGTCGTGATATCCGCAGAGTACCATCGACATATAACAGTAGAGTACCGCCTTGCACGAGTACCCTAGACGTCAATCGACCACCGCAGTGCGCCGACAACGATGACTATAAAACAGAAATAATTAAAATACAGTTAAGGTACCACACTCTAATTATTTCTTTCTGATTATGTAAATTATGCCCAATGTAGCTGTGCGCAGGTGAACTCATGCAGTTAACTTATTTAGAATTGCTCTAAATAATATTGTGTTATGTGTAAATTTGTCTATTGTAGACAAATTTATTCTATGCAATAAAATAAAAAACAAACTTACTTACAGTGAATGGTCAAACACAAATTGTCTTGCTTTATTAAGAAAATAACTTATAACAAAATGAAACACAATTAAATAAATATGAAATATAACAAAGGGGGAATATCTGCTGCGTCCTTCTTCATCTACTTAATTCTGAACACTGACCGTCGTTGAGACTACAAGCCGCCCTCATTACCTTTCAGCCTGGTAGGTAGTACCAATCCCTTCTGTGACGCTAGGCAGAAGGTCAACCGGTCCGAACTACCTGCCTCTTTGTTCGCCGACAATATCAAAGAATCCAAACTGGTCGCGTGACTATTAAAAATTTGACACAGCATTGCGCTCTGCTCTAGGCTGACATTCACTAATATCTCTTTCAATATCAGCCGTTCACCTATCAATATTACAATCAATGGTCATAGATCATCTCCCCACCCTTGACACTGTGACAAGGCCTCCGCCAACTGTGTATAGCTGATTATGAGTCTTTTATTTTTTGTTTATCGCAAGTAGATTTAACAAATTTGAAAGACTTATATTTACAATTGACTAGAGTAACGAGGATTTTATATTATTAACTTTAATATGAAAGAATGAATGTACGGGTGAATAATGAGCTAATGTGCTAATTTTCCTAGCCCTTTTATTTTAAACANCTAATGTGCTAATTTTCCTAGCCCTTTTATTTTAAACATATGGGTAAAGAGAGGCTAATTTTCATTAAAATAATCTTATACTAATTAATTGAAAAAAAAGATTGACATTACTGTAATATGGTTCCACGATATATTTGTAATGAGTAGTATAATAATTTTCGGTCGGAAAAGTATAAATATTTATGTTGCCAGGAAAAAGTATTCTAGAAGTTTCTATTTCAATTCATTACAAATAATTTATAGTAGAGCATTAAAATATTTAACTTATTTTATTATTATTTAAAATATATATTATCTAAAATTTTTGAATTTTTTTTTTTTTTAATTCCTTGATTTTGTTTAAAACTTGTTAACTTACAAATCGTGAACATAGGAAGTTATTTTTGACCCATCGTTATAAGAACAGCCTAAAATTATTATACAACTTTGTAATTATTTCTTGAATATATTTTTTTAATTGATATTCTAAAAATTCAAAGCAAATTTTAGGTACATTGTTAATTTTTTTTTAACCCTTCGTAAAAGACAGTACCATTATAAAAATTAATATATCTTGCTTTAATATCATAATTTTGGTCTATTTTATATAAATCACTGTTTTTATGGTTTATAATATAAAATATGTCATTAAAGTTTTGGTACAGTATGAGTACACTCGCGTGTGCAGGACGCAATATAATTGACACAATTTCGTAGTAAAATATAGCGACGAGACGATTATTAATAATGTTAAATAAAAACAAAAAGTGAAAGAGGAATAAAAGTATATATTAGTTTCTACAATATAAAGAATGTTAAAAAGAGAGTTGTTCGAAAAATGGACGGTGAATCGCTTGGTGGTGTCACGAAGATGACTGTCTTAACGTATTATTGCGACGGGTATTCGACGCAAGGCATTCTTTGGACTTTACACTACGAAGGTTACGCGTGAATTTAACGGTCCAATTTACAGAGTAGTGGTTGCTGAGAAGGACCTGACACGACCGCGGGGTGTCAAGCGGGTGACAACGCCATGGCCGTGCCTAATACCTCACCACCAAGCCGCTGTTCCATTTTAAAGGCCTATTGAGTAAGCGCATGTTTTCGTTTAATTTCGATGGCAATTTACTCTTAGACTATAAGGTATAAGGACAAATTTTTATTTTTTCATTTTATAGTACATAACATATCCTTTGATTTGATATATATTTAAAGGACGCAGTATTTCCGGAACATTTTCAAAAGTTAAGTTGAAAAAGTTCTATTTTTTATACAATGTTTCTAGTTTTTCACGCCCTCTATATAAGGGGAAATTGTCCAATTTTAATAAAAAGTATTGATAAACCACCGACTCGAAAACACCTCAATGGTCGGGGTACCCAGTATTTTCGCCTAAGTGGACACGACTTGCTTTTACTTAAACAAAGGACACAATATTCTGACAACACAAATGCAAATTTTATTATAACGAAATACAATATTACACAAACTATAGTTAACTGGTTTGTATGCAACCTGGTTACTTCAAATTCCCCGTAGACCAAGACCAGACACGCTTCTCCAAACCATAAACTCGTGGATGGGCATCCAAATCCACCTTTGATATTTAAGTGACGATCACGGAACTCTAGTTGTGGGCTTTCAAGTTGAGGCACTCACCGTCCGTCATAGGATCGTCCCAGCATAGGTGCCAAACACATACTCGCCGGACGCCACGACGCGCAACAATTTCGATCGCGTTTACCGGTTATATACAAGTGGCGCTACAAATGATCGGCGGCCAAACAAGTATGTCAAATGAAAGATATACTTATTATGTATTTAGGAAAATAAAATTATGCTGATAAATACATTTTTCGATAAGTTATAGCATTTTTAAATTGAAAATTTTAACACAAAAATAGCATTTTTTTAAATTACTGTAGCCATTTGCATGCAAAAGATAAAGTATCGGGGCAAATTTTTTTTTCATTTTATAGTACATGACATAAAATTTAATTTGATATATATATATAAATGATGCAGTATTTAAGGAACATTTTCAAAAATAAAGTTGAAAATGTTAGTTTGTAAAAAAGTTACTATTTTAAATCCCTCCAGTGAGTAGGTTGAGTGTTAGATTTTCAAAAAAATGATATTAAATGAAAGGGAAATATCTAAGGTTTTAGTATAAAAAAAAATTATGTTGATTTTTTTGATTTTTATGTTGATTTGTTGATTTTTGAAAAAATTATGGAAGTTTTAAGAAAAAAATGACAAAATTTACCGATTTTTAAATTTGTAATTTTTTTGGAGATTTCTCCCATTTGTGACGAACAAGGGAAAATTTTTTAATTTTGATGGGTAATGTATTCAATTAGATACAATTTGTGATCTTTTGACGTATTGTTGAAAGAATTGAGTCCAGTGAGAGCTGAAAAAAAGTGGCAACAGACAAAAAAAAAATATATCATGGTAAAATTAATACCTTCTCAGCTTCGCATCGAAACTAAAAATTCAATCCAATTAATTGATCCAAGAATGATAAGATTACCTTATAATTGCCTTTAGACCATGTGTTGCACAAATTTTGCTGTGTGCTGTGTTGAAAGAAATTGTTTCGGTGAGAACTGAAAAAAGTAATAACAAACAGAAAAGAAATATTATTAAAAAAATACACATCATAGTATAATTAATACCTTCTCAGCTTCGCATCGAATTTAAAAAAGTTTAAAAAATATTACACCTTTACAGCTTCACATCGATGCTAAATGTTCAACGATATGAAAATTAGATCAAAAATTATAATCGTTGTCAATTAAGTTTATGAGATCCAACAATTATTGAAGTATCCAATCTATATCAGTTTATTTAAAGCTATACAATTGTATAAAATGTTAGAAATTTAAAAAATAACTATATTAATAATAGCTATTTTATAAATAAACATGAGTCTGTTATATATTCAACGGAATGGAATATAGGCCAAAAGTGCCAATATTTTGCACGTTAACACTATTCGATTAATTGTCAATAAATTGCAATTCTTTTTGTTGTCCTTTGGATACTAAATATTCGCTTTCCTATGCGATGTATTTCGTGGTTTATAATTATCACTTAGAAAAATGAGTTACATAGAGGAAAATTACTATGACGTGGACATTCTAACAATGTTTTTTAAAGACTCTCTTACCAATGCTAATTTTAAATTTTATGATGCGACATTAATGAAGTTATAAAAATATAGCATTATAACGAATATGTTTAGTTTATGTCATCAAAATATATAATAATTCCCCCTGACTACTATGTAAAAATTAAAGTTTTTTAGTGTTAGTTTGCTATAATGAAAATAATTAATAGCTAGAATTTTTCATGTAAAATGTTTTAAATTTTCATAACTTATGTAGGTTATGCAGTGTAATAGCAAACACATTAAAATAGTAGTTGATTAAATAATGTATAGTTTTCATATTGACTTTGTTGTAATATCTAGAGATTGATTTAAAATTTATTTGAAAATTTAAAATTAATTTTAGTTAAAATAACTAAATAAAATTTATGAAGTTATTTAAACAACATTTAATGGTTCTTTAAATTAATTTTGTCGATNAGTTATTTAAACAACATTTAATGGTTCTTTAAATTAATTTTGTCGATAATATTAACAATTGGTGTCTGGTGTTCACTTAAGATATTAAATTAACCAATTATAA